GACATAGCACTCTTGGAGACGGAAAACGAGTAAGTTAAAAGCCGACTACTTTATCGTTGTCTTAAGCTTGGTGTTCCACAGGGTTACGTTTTGGGCCTTATATTTTTAGTCATAGGTGTCACGTTAAATATAAATAATGAAAATAAAAAAAACTACCATTATTGTGCTTTATTTTTGTATAGCTTAACATTGCCGATAATTTTTTGTAGTTATTTTTACTGTAGGATATACTACATTTGAAACAATAATTTCAGGATAGCTTTTGGACAGGACTTGTTGCCAGCATGTTTGTATACAGAACGTGAACCTATAAGATTGGCTGATGCCTCAGGCTGGGGGCGTTTAGGACACAAAAAGGAACTGGCAGATACCCTACAAGTGGTAAGTGTAGATGAAAGCAGACCTTAAAAACTGTACATAGAGAGAAATCTGTTATATAACTATTTCTCTTTGTTTATTTTCTTTTTCCTTTTTTTAAAAAACTTTATTATGGGACTAGGATTTTCTCCTGTGTCGTGGGTGCGTCTACAAACATAAAACTTCGCATACACATGACACCCAGACTCGCAACAACAATTTATTAATAACACAAAGAGTTGCTCCGTGCGGGAATCGCACCAGCGACACATTGCGCAGCAGCCGGTTACCCAGCCACCGCACCAACCGTGCAGTCATGCCAGCAGTTCTGCCAGCGGCTTCGTCTGCGGTCCCGTGGGATAATAGTAACCTAAATGTTACTCTAAACCATAATCTACCTCTGTTTCTAGTCATTGTCATTTTTTGTACACCTTTACTCTTGGATGTAAGGCCGACTAGGGGTTTAAGAGTCTAGGGTCTACTTAATTAACAGAGACCGGGACAGCTCCTGATATACCGTATTCTCCAACTATTCTGCTAATCGTGGAGATTACGGCAAGCTCCTCTGTCGTAAGTGGGGTCCATAGTCAAGTAGTGGACTCTCTATGGCTTATGACAATTTTTAATTAAATATATGAATACCTTTTTTCAGGTGAATCTGGAGGAATTCGGCAGATCTGAATGCTCGAAAATATACAAACCACACAGATATTTTACTAACGGTTACGATCACTCAAAACAAATGTGTTACGGATCCCGTATCGAAATCAGAGATACTTGTGAAGTGAGTGAAGATTAATTATTTATATTTTAATTTATTTAATGGCTTGGTGTTTCAACTCATGTTCAATTATCAGGTTTTTTTAGATAGCTGTGTGTTATACATACTACCTCTACGTAGGAATACTAGGTTTCTACTGTTATTTGCCGGGGCTCCGGTTCGAAGTGCAGGTGTAGATTATGAAAGGTTTCTACTGTTATTAGCAGTTTTGTAATATTTACTATTTCTCCATAATACTCCATATTATTCAATGACAATATCGAGATGCGTCTATGACATATCGAAATTCGGAAGTAACTTCGGCAAATATTTTTGTCATTATTTGACTTGACTTTTGACTTAAGCTTCTAAGTCCCCTAGACGGGGCGGAGGGCGTCCACAGAGGTCATCCATCTCGATCGGTCTTGAGATTCACGCTCACCTCTCTCCACGTCGTTCCGATGCCCGCCGCTTCTGCCACTACAGTGCGCCGCCAGGGGGAGGCCACACTTCCTTTTCCTTTGGGGATTCCAGTCCGTGGCTTGTTTAGCAATGTTTTTTTTAAGGGGGGAAATCATCGCATTACTGCTCCCACCTAGGTGAGGCGGGAGGGAATGTCAGACTCTTACTGACTAAAAACCACCCCGTTCCTTCTCCTGCGCTTCGAGCCAGAGCCCCGGTAACCCGTTAGGTTCTCTGCGATTTAGCAATTTGGTTGGGACCTCCGGAGAGTGTGACCAATCCATCCCCATTTGCGGCGTTTGATTTGTGATCGATAGGGCTTACGTGGCATTTCTTCATTAGGTCCTCGTTGGAGATGATCTCGGGCCAGTAAATACCGAGAATGTGACTCAAGCATCGGTTAACGAAAACCTGGATTTGGCATTAGATGTCTTTTGTTATCTTCCACGTCTGGCACCCGTAGAGCAGTACGGATTTGACATTGGTTCCGGAGATCTTGTCATTACTTACACCTACAATATTTATCAACAGGGTGATAGCGGAGGACCTCTCCAATATGGTAGTGAAGGATGCTACTATACAGTAATTGGTGTGACATCATTCGGCAAGGACTGCGACAGCCTCGGCTCGCCTGGCATGTACACCAGAGTCTCATACTATGTGCCCTGGATCGAAAGCATCGTCTGGCCTGAGGAAGTAGAGAAACGTGAGCAGAAAGAAAATCAATGGTTGAACAATTGGCCCACTGATTTTTATTATAGTTGATAGCTACAATTACATTTCTTGGATTGGATAACTGATTAGTATTAATAAAATCATTTTATGATTTCTAATAATTCAGTGTCTTTTATTTCTATGACTCATCCTCCGTAATATATTGTCAGCGAATGTCGTTTCTACTCGTTAAAACTCTACGGGCCTGCGGACGTTTGGTTTTGCGTTGCGGGCGGTTTAGTTTTTAGTCAGCAAGAGTCTGACACTCCCTCCGCTTCACCTAGGCGGGAGAAGTCATTCAATGATATTCCCAACTAAAAAAAAATCCTCAAAAACTCTTAATGATTTTACAGAGTAGAATTATATTCATAGTGGTATATCACTAGGTAGAGATTTAGCTCCTTAACACTAATATAATATACAATTTGGATAGGTATCATAATAAATTTTATGGCTCATTGTAAAAAATGCATCAAAACCATTATTTTTGCAATTGATTGAATATCAATTTTGATTGTACCTGTTTTACAAGTTGCAATATAGGCAGCAACCACTTTATTGACTTTATGATGATGATGCCATATTATGATGAGAAGACGAACCGGTTTTAATAACTAAACTGATCGGTTGGTATCATGTGGTGCGTGCATCACCGGCTTTTGGTCATGACCTCGCTCACATTGAGTTTTGAGAAATCCTTTCAAAGGGCGAAATGATCAAGGTATTCATGTTATAATTATAATTTTAACCTAATTTTTGTTTTTGTTAGTTTGGGCGACCCTCCCGGGCGCTGCTTATATTTCAGAGGGTTATGGCGATTCGAATGATCCGCGGATACCGCACGATCTCCGGGGAGGCGGCGAACCTCCTTGCCAGATCGCCGCCGTGGGATCTGGAGGCGAAGGTGCTCGCGTGCGTGTTTTGTTTGTGCGCGGAGGCACGTCGTCGGGGCGAAACTCCTCTGCCGTGCCAGATTAGCGCGTGGCGGGATGAGCTGCGGCGCGATCTCGTTACGGAATGGCAGCAACGACTAACGACTGTCGAACTGAGGGCTGGGCTCGCTGCTATCGCAGCTGTAAGTCCTCTCTATGAGGAGTGATAAAGTGGTGGTAGTGGAGTGTCCTCAGGGATGTGATCGGCGACGGCGACTTTTTGCGTCCGGCCCTAGTTCGGGCCATGATGTGAAGCGAGGAGGACTGGGATGACGTCTCCTCCTTTTGAGGAGCCGGCGCGAAGGACACTTCGGGCGTCTGGGATCACAATGTCTGGCTTGAGGGGAGCGAGGACCTCAATCCTCAATAATAGCTTCTTTTAACTAACCAACAAATCATTGAATGAGAAGTTGTTCTTTTTTCTTACCTAATAAACGAGGTGCGTTAAATTAATTGGCAAGCACGTAGGTACTACCTAAGGATTACGTAACCAGCTACGTGGCTTACTAATGTTATAAATGCGATTGTTTGTTTGTTACTTCTTCGCGTTCAAAATAGCTGAAGGGAGCGTGATGAAATTTGAAATAGGCTACTTTTTATCCCACAGGAACATGGGCAAAGCCAGTCAAAGAAGCTACTAATACTTGTAAAAAATACATGCATATACGTAAGTCTAAATGTTTATATGCATGTTATGTTAATAGTATGTCAAATAATGTTCTAAAATAGTTTACAATATCATGATTTAAATTATGTAAACTGTATTTACATAACATTTTATATAGATTTACATACATTTTACATAAGTTATACGATGTTATACCATGGTGTACAGGTTAGTCATAAATTCTAAAGCCTAGGTTACCTATGCATGGTCCACCAAACTAAACGTCACATAATTATGAAATCTTCAATTTACGTAAGTAGTGGCTTGTTTCATTTACTAAATGGAATTAATGTTCCAAAAATGTTTGAATATAGACATTGTTAAACCTTCTGTACCTGAGAAGAATGGTAGTTTTACAGCATTATTCCTTAAAATGATAAAAATAAATTAAAGACCCTGATCTCTTAGGTCATGTATTACCATGCTATCGGATTGAAATAATTTTATTGGGGGAAAAAGAGATTGAACCAAACCTGTACTACTTTTGACACTAAAATTTATGTCACTTTTGAAACCATAATAGTATGGTTTCAAAAGTGACATAAATTTTACCATGTGACAACCATTATGACATTGATAGCAATGTCATAATGGTTGTCAGCCCAAAGTACCCCTATACTTATTATACTCTTTGGCCCAAAGTCTTTACTCTGGCATGCGCGAGTAACGCTACGCTCCAAAAAATACATTACATTGAATATAGCTATTTAATTTAGAAAATAATGAATATCAAGATTATTTGGGATACGTCGATAAACGAGCAGGCAGATCATTCGATGGTAAGCAATAGGTGCCGCTCGGGACCCGAAACACCACAGGCAGTACAAATGGGCCTCCGTTATTTCACGTCGGTTTTCTGTGAGGCCGTGGTATCACTTTGGTCGACCAAGGGGCAAGCAAACTGTGAGAAAATCCTAAATTTGATACTTTTACGGTCACCAAAACATAAAGTAACAAGTAGTTAATGTTACATTATTATCGTACACGCAATAAGCATGTTGATTTAAAAAAGCCATGAAATAGACAAGTATCGTAATTAATTTGTAGTTATCGCAGAACATTACTCTCGGCGCAGGAGCAGTCTGTGTAGTAGGCATGCGTAATAAGCATGGCGTCCAATAAATGTATAGTTTTATTATACTTGTTTTGTTATCTGTATTGTGGACGGTGTGAGCTAAATTTGAGTGAAGGTAAGGTGTTATATTGAACTACAATCGTTCCGATTTTTCTAGAGTAGGTACACTCTCATTTCGTATTAATAGACTGTCCTTTCGATCGATTATATCCCTACCATCAAACATTTATTTATTTCTAATTTCTATACTCTTATCTAGATAAAAATTTACGTCATACCCCTTGATCATACCTTTACTATTGAACATACATATTATTCACACGATAGAATGTTATAAAAATAGTTCGAAAATTTTTAAAATGTTTATCGTTCAAAAATAATCAGTATATATTATTCGATTTTACCACGTAACTGTTTGACGCGGGATACGACTGTAAATGACATGGAATGCTGCTCATGAATATTAGCCCCTAACGTGGCTTGAAACTAGTCGAGAGGTCCTAGTCAAACAAGTACGTGAGTAAGCCGAAAATGATTAATTTCAAGAAAATTATATGACATTCAAAAATAACATTTTGCGTAAAGTACTAATAGAATAAAATGCTAAAAAACAAATGTCATGAGCCACCATTTCAGCACTGTACGTAGCCTTAACTTTTGTAGACATTAAAATTTAAGCTATCAAAGGGTCCAGACCAGATATGTTTAACTACAAGGCCATTTAAAATTCTTCCCAGGCACATAATTATTGAAAACCCCTTTAGGATAATGTTGATATAGATAATGACATTCCAGGAGCTAGCTGCATTGTCGATAAAGTCTACCAGGGAACATGTGTCAGGCTGTTCAAATGTGGATCAGCTGTTTTAACGTATCTTTATGTAAGTATCCTACTGCCATTGTCAATAGCCTGTGGTTGTCCCACTGTTTAGAAAAGGCCATTTCTTACATGCACATCAGATCAGGGTGAATATCCCAGGCGCTAATTTTACGTGTCCACGTTGAGAATCATGGTGTAAAACCATGGCATGCTTCTTATATTTTTTTATAGTGAACTACTTAACTTAATCTAATTAGGGCCACATTTTTTTTTAAATATGCTTACCTATGGAAGCTGTGGAAAAATAAATAACTTTAAAATTCAAGTTTGGTGGCTTGTCCTAGCTCCATTTTTTGATATAAATGTATTTACCAAAGAAACAATTTAAAGTGAAGTAAAAAACAAATCATTACATTAGTATATGCATAAGACACACTATCTAAAAACAACTAAACCATATTATAAAATTGATTTTAAAAGCACAGGATACTCGATTTAAATTTGTCCTTGCAAAAATCATAATTTTGGTAGCACTTTTTCAAGTTAAATTTAGCATGAAGATTCGTGTGTGTGCGATCAATCGCGTTTTATATTCTGTATTTGTCAATCTTGCGCTGGTAGTGGCAAGTAACAGGTGTGTGCATAGTGCTGTGATTTCTCGCCAAAAACGTAAGTATCATCGTGGGTCGAACAGGGGACAAGAATTTTTCAATTTTGGTGGATCGATTTGCTGTTGATTCTTAAGTGTTTTAATAGTGAGCCACGTATTGTAGGTAGTCATTTGGGTAACTTACTTATTAGTGATACTTATTTTATTGTATCTTAATAACTGTATTTTTTAAGATTTTTTTAATACCTGGTTTCAATTTTGGTGGCTCAATTTTGGTGGCTTTGGTGGCAATTTTCGCCATCAAAATTGAAAATAAGCCACCAAATTTTAAGTATGTACTGTATATATATTATTTTTGCATTTAAATACAGTTTTTCACTACAGATTGATTATGTGAAGGCCTTTGACAGGGTATGGCACGACAGTCTAATCGGCAGGCTTCCTGCATATGGACTTCCTACTGGTCTGTGCAGATGGATAGCAGACTTTCTGAGGGATCGGTCAATACGAGTAGTCATCGATGGCTGCTTGTCTGACCAATCCGGTATTAATGCCGGCGTCCCTCAGGGGTCAGTACTTTCAGCGACGCTCTTTTTGCTGCACATAAACGACCTGCTTAAGCCCGGTATCTTTGGGTATGCAGATGACAGCACAGTTGTTGAAAGGTATGTGTCCGGTGCGCGGACTAGCGGAACACAGATCCAGTCTTTAAGAGAATCCATGGTCGAACGTTTGAACTCGACCTTGAAGGCGCTGTCCGACTGGGGTGACGCCAACTTGGTTAGGTTCAATGCTAGCAAGACCCAGGCGTGTCTATTCTCCGCCAAACGGAGTCAATTTCCGCTGACTCCTACTTTTCGGAATGTATCCGTACCGATAACCGATCGTCTTGAGCTTCTTGGTGTAACTTTGACGCCCAGACTCAACTTTGGCTCCTATATAGAGTCAAAAGCGCAACTGGCTGGTAGGAAGTTGGGTGTCCTATGGATGGTGAGACGGTACTTCACGCCGAAACAATTGTTGAGCCTGTACCAAGCACAGGTTCGGTCCTGTATGGAGTACTGCTTTCATCTTTGGGACGGCTCGGCAAAATATCAGCTGGACGCGTTAGAGCACATTGAGAGGCGTGCCAGGAGGCTCATCGACGATGATGCGCTTGTGAAGGCTCGGCTTCAAAGCCTCGAACACAGGCGTAAGGTTGCAAGCCTTTCGGTTTTCTACCGGATACATTTCGGGGAGTGTGCGGGGGAATTGCACAACTTGATTCCCCCTAGTCCTTTCCATCATCGTACCACAAGACAATCCGCGAAGCGTCACCGATTCATGGTAGATGTTCCGCCCACACGCACGAAGCGCTTCGCTTCAAGCTTCCTTGTGCGTACTGCTAAAGAGTGGAATTCTTTGCCAGAGTCTGTATTTCCTGAAGGGTATAACCTGGGAGTCTTCAAGGCCCGAGTGAATAGGTTGCTTATGGGACGACGTGCTCCATCGTAGACCGCATCATCGCTTACCATCAGGTGAGATAGTGGTCAAACGACGCCCAATCAAATATAAAAAAAAATTATATATATCTAAGTATACGTTACTATTTTATTTGTTTCTCTTCTGTTTGTTATATTTATTAAATTGCACATGCCAGGTTATTTTTCTGCACTACTCTAAGGTCGACCGGCTGTTATGTCGATACCTAAGTTTTATGTAGATACTTAGCAATAGATTTGACCTATTATTATTCGTATAAGAGTAATGAATTAGTTATACTTACATATTTTTCTTACTTTTTAGAATGCCAAAACAGACTAGAAAAGAGAGGCTGCTTAAAAAAATAATGGCAGAAAGAAAAAGAAAAGAAAGAATAAATTACGGAAAAGAGAGAGGGATAGATATCATGAGAAGAAAAAAAGGTAAACTGGCTTCTCAGAAACTAAAATCCCAACGCAAGCATCGCGCTTTGCAAATAAAAAACAAAATATATCAACGAGAATATTAATAAGCCGCAGCATACCTTGGTTTCAAGAAATTTACGTCCACGAACAAGTCGTGATTGTAGTAGTCCAGATGCTCGCACCAAAAGTAATAATAAAATGAATTTGCAACATCAATACTCCGACAGCTTACAGCCGACCACAAGTCATATTCCTCCAAGTACCTAAGTCACAAAATCTTCGCACAAGTAGCCATGCTGAAGTTACAGCGCTGTCACCCCCTACATCTTCATGTGTCAGCAGTATTGATATTTGTACTGTTTCCATATTATGCCCTGATAGTCCAACTTCAGATACATCAATAACGTCAGTGGACTTTAAACGTGCGTTTAGGAATAAGTTCCGACGGTATCAAAAATGCAAAACCAAAGAGATAGAGATATTGCAGCGAAGGATTTCTGAACTCAAGAGTTAAGAGAGAGAAGAGTTAAGAGTTTATTATGTTTTGGTTTCTTAGTTTTGTTGAGGAAATTTTTGTTGTTTGACAAGTAATTTTGTTCAAATATTGTTTTATGTCTACACTCATAAATTATCATTACGAGTTATAGTTAAATAATAATAAATATTATCATAACAAGAGTGAGTTTTATTAACTGATGGAGTTTTTGGTCATTCCCGAGTATTTCAGACATTGGGCTTTATTAGTGAGATTTAAGTTTGTGACAAAAACTGGTTTTTAATGGATTGTTTTAAGCACTTTCAATTTTGGTGGACAAATATCAATTTTGGTGGCTGCACTAGTCTTTCAACTCAAATATCTCAAAAAGTTACCGGGATATTCTCAGACCTCATGAAGATTCCTAAAGCTTGAGCCTTCTATTTTTGTACCAGGTCAATAGTTTTCACGAAAAGTAAAGAAAAAATTTCGCCACCAAAATTGACAAAAATATGCACTTGTTGATATTCACCCATCAAGAACCTCTGAGTAACTACTGTTAAGCAAACGCGACATCTCCAACGAAAACAGTATAAGGTACCACTACGCTTTTTTATTGGGAGAAGCCCGCCACAACCTCCCAAAACCGCTGCAACTCCTGTAAGCCAGGATCTACAGTAGATATAAAACCACCACGCTTGCCCAAAGTGGGTTGGTAATATCATAAATATGCATAAATAAATTGGAATTATAAGTACCATACGTCTGTGGTGTCTAAATCATCTTCGAAACTAATTCGGATAACTCGCATTGTTATTTGCCAGGTTTCGAACCCTCATACAAGCTTGTGGACCAGACTTGGCCTACGTAAGAAGAACAATTCATTGAATTAGTTATACATTTTTATCTTTGTTTTTGTTACAGCGTAATGCTGGGTTCGAAAATGAAAAACACATACCACGGCTCCCTGAGATATGCTCGCACAGGAGTGAGGAACCTATAGTCTGCTGCACCGACTGCGTCCTCAGCGCTAATGATGAGTCAGTATTCAATTTTACAGAATCATTTGTTAACCTGCGTGGTATTAACCTGAATGTTCCTCAGAAATCGAACAGAAAACTGACGTGAAGCAACGCTTGCGTTGTGTTTCGTCGTGTGAGTGAGGTTACCGGAGGCCCAATTATCCTCCCCTTCCCCAATCTCCCCAATCCTTGAATCCGCAACGATCCTCAAACTTCTAATCCCCAAAAGGCCGGTAACTCACTTTTAACGCCTCTGGTGTTCCAGGTGTCCATGGGCGACGCCGATTGCTTACCATCAGGTGATCCGTCTGCTCGTTTACCGGCAATGCCATAAAAAAAATATACCTATATCTATTGGTGAAAATCAGCCAGTATTTTTGGAGCTCAGAGCGTTCATGCAGATAAACAGGTGCTAAAAGGGACTCCCTTCTTATTGTGATATATTCTTTATATTTTGCTTATTTTGTCTATTCTATACATATATACTAAAATCGTAGAAAAGTCAAAACTGTCCATTAAATATTTTTTTTAAAGAATACTTGGGGCGTGATCTACAATCGATACCGAAGCCAAAAATATGGTTTTTAGAGGTATATATTTTTTCTGTTTGTCTGTATGTATGTGCGGGATGACCTCAAAAAGTACTGCTTGGTTTTACTTAAAATTTTCTATGATTATTACTAACAGGTCGGGTCAACATATAGAGTACATATTGCCACGCACGACACAAGGTCGTGAATATTTTATTTGACTAATTAAATTGTTTCAGATTCAAAGACTCGGCTGTTGCTCCTTCTGGGGTCCTAGCCAGTAGAACGGGTTCAATAGCTTGGAAAAGTAAGTAACAGCGATTGTGTTCCAGTTATGGCCCTCACATAATAATATCATTTTAATTGATCTTAGCGATTGTTCAAGTTAAGAGCACTACCTTTTCTCCGTTATAATGCCCAGCTACGCATTTTCGTTGCTGTATGCTTGTGAAGTCCACGGTTTGTGCGTCTACGAACATAATAGTAGAAAGAAAGACGCTGCTACGCGCTACGTGTTACGTTCTACGTGATACGTGATACGAACTATGAGCTACGAGCTACGCGCTACGCACTACGAACTTCGCATTACGTGATACGCGCAACGAACTACGCGATACGTGCGACAAGCAGTGACGTTTTACGAGTTACGGCTGTAGCTCTGCATTTCAAGTGTAAAGGGTAGGGTTGAGCAAACAGGTCATGTCATCATCATGACGATGATCTCTTTACATGCATTAGACAGTTACATACGTACATCGTTACATGGCTAAGTTTAATGTTAATAATAATACAAACATTACGATAATATTTCAGAATGCCTGGAATATTTCCATAAACTGCCTTATCCATGTCGAGGCAAAGGCCTTGTAAGCATAGTAAAGCAATGGGTGGAGGCCAATCAATGTCATAATTCAGTACTGAGGGTCAATGTTACTTTTGATGAACCAGATCCTCTGCACTGGAACTTTCCTCATCAGGTAAGAAATGAAGCTACAAGCTTCGAAGAATCTTGTATTTTAGCGTACCAAACTCTGTCTATTTTAGTTTGAACAATATTGTCCCTACGAAATAACTAATTCTTATTTTATCTCCTTTGAAGTTTTTCAAAAGCTCCACTCAGCTCTATTTAAATGAGAATATTATTTAAATTATGAATGTGTCTGGTCTAGGCTCGGCTTGGATACGGTGACGATTTATCTTCAGCTCAGTGGCTATGCGAAGGGACAGTGATCAGTGAAAGGTTCATATTGACATCTGCACACTGTACCAACGCTGGTGTATTGTAAGTGGGTTCCTTTTTTGAATAACAGTACCCTTCAAGCCTGTTCAGCTTGGTAAATAACAGTTTGACGCGGAGACAGGTGCAACTAATATTGACTTGGATTGAATCACCCACTTCTTCATATCCTATGAATAAACAATCATCCGAATATAGTAGGGTCTCTTTTTATACTCGATACAAGTAACAATTATCAAAACCGATTGAGTCAGCCAGATTTGCCACAGGTACGATACTAGCGAACTCAACTATTCCAAACTATATTTGCCAAGCTCTATATCTTTATGTAGCTACATTATTATTGTTTCGTTGATCACATCCCATTTTCCTTGGTAAGTACAGAGTGTCACTCCTTCTCCTAGATAATATCATTTCTCATATAAATTCCCTTTGCTTCCATTCTCCTGACTGCCTCGTTGGCCGAGTGGTCGCAAGTGCGACTGCCGGGCAAGGGGTTTCGCCGGGTCGGGCAAAGTATTACTGGGTTTTTAAAAAATCTCAGTAGTAGCTCGGAGTTTGGAAATGTGCCCGGTATATGGCAATAGGCTCACCCTTATTAAATGGGACTCATAACATAAATAGTGAAAAGTGGGTGTGTAATGTGCACCTCTGCCTACCTTTTCGGGGATAAAAAGGAGTGATGTTATGTTATGTAATGTTCCATTCTCAGTTAAATCCTTGTCTTGTCCTTTGACTTTCATCCCTTCTCATCAATGTTTGTCCCAAGCAAGACGATTGCTTTTCAACTTATCTTTAACCGGTATCATTTTTAGCTTCCACTAACACACACACCCATTTTAGTACCTACTTCAGTTTCTAAAATTAATGATAAATCGAACCTCATTACATACAATAACAATTCTGTTTACAGCGGTACAATAGCGTTTGCATCGCTCGGTCTTCACAATAAGGACCGACCGGAATATTGGAACACACACAAGATCAAGAAGGTCATTATCCATCCCAATTACAACGAACCTTCGTGGTACAATGATATAGCTCTTTTGGAGACAGAAACTGAGTAAGTACCAAATTATTCTACATCTCATTTTAGGTCCTATTGCTCCTATTAGAAGTAAATCAGCACGTGAGACCAAATTAACTAAAAATGATGGATTACTCACGTGAATATACTGAGGAACGCTCTACTAGTTTCGAGTCACAGTGGGATTCTTCCTCATGAGCAGCGTGCGCGATTGCTGCGATGTCACGCAGCCTACCTCAGCTTTTCTCAGTATATTCATGTGAGTAACCCGTCGTTTTTAGGAGTATATAGTTCTTTAAGTAATTTCCACTGTAATTGTGAAAGCCTTAGTATGTGTTAGGGGAGCCTAGCCTAACCAAAAGCCATGCTTTGAAATGGCCTGCTCGACCGGAGTGATACCACGACTTCACAAAAAACAGACGTAAAACAACGCTTGCGTTGTGTTTCATCGTGTGAGTGGGCTGCCGGAGGGCCAATTACCCTTTTAGGGAACAGAGAGTATAGTTCCCTAAGATCGGAAAAGGAGGATCCTCCGACCAGGCGAGGTGATCGTGCCTGGCGGGCTTTCTGCCCAACAGTTGTTCGTTGGGATTTTTCTATCCGTGTTTTTTATTCGCTTGTAAACTTTGCATGTGCGATGTAGGATTCTTGTGACGTCATCCGTTGACATGTGGCATGCGTCGCCACACCCTCTTCCACATTGTCCCCAATTCTTGAATTGGCTGGTAACGCACTTGTAATGCCTCTGGCGTTTCGGATGTCCATGGGCGGCGCTGAATGCTTACCGGTGCTTTGCTTGACGGTGACCCGTTTGCTCGTTTACCAGCTTATATTAACATAGAAAATATTTTTAGTTACCTATTTAAACGTGTATGTTTGCAGGATAATGTTCGACAGTAAAATTTTACCAGCGTGTTTGGATGTTGATATACATAATAAAAAAGAAGCAGAAGCAGCTGGATTGCGTAGTCACGTCATTGATAACAAGTTATTAGAGAGGTCGAAGATGCAACCGGTGAGACAGGCAGACGTATTCATATGAGAAATTAGATCTATATCTATATTTACTATACTAATAATAAATTAGGTTGAAGAGCTTGTTTACGTATGTTTGATCGAGCCATTCTTTGGAACTGCTGCTCCGAATTGAATAATTATTTTGATGTAATAGGGGGTGAGCCTATTGCCATATACCGGGCACAATTCCAGACTCGGTGCTACTACTGAGAATTTTTTAATAATACTTTGTCCGATTCGGGAATCGAACCCGAGACCCCTTGCCCGGCAGTCGCATTGGCAGTCGTGATTTATAACTTCTAAGTGGGATATTAAATTCACACCATAATTATGCTTCCAGATATCGTTAAAGGAATTGGATACGATAGACTGTCTCCTCGCATACAAGCGTGCCAACAACCTCATGCATGGGTTTGATTCTAAGTTACAAATGTGCTATGGAAGGCAAAATGCCTCCGAAGAAACTTGCAAGGTAAATGAATCGAAATCTTTTTGCTTCTTGAAATAAAGAAGAATACATCTAGGAAATACATATATACATTTATCTTCTTTTTTATAGCATAAGCCGGTAACATTGACACCTGGAACACCAGAGGCGTTACAAGTGTTTACCACTCACTGTACAATGTAATCACTCACTTTTCACTGTTTTATGTTATGAGTACCATGTTATAGGGGGTGAGCCTATTGCCATATATCGGCCACAATTCCGGAGTCCGTGCTACTACTGAAATTTTTTTTAAACCTTTGTCCAACTCGTGAATCGATCCCTAGACCCCTTACCCGGAGTCACGGAGAACCTAACGGGTTACCGGGGCAGGAGAAGGAACGGGGTGGTTTTTAGTCAGTAAGAGTCTGACACTCCCTCCCGCCTCACACAGGCGGGAGCAGTCGTTCAACGATTTTCTCCCAATAAAAATCAAATTGGGTTTTTAAAAAAAATCCCAGTAAACAAATGAAACAAGTGAATTTATTTCTGCAAATAGTCTACAAGGCAGCACTTTTACACGAATTTTCGTAACTGACTACTCTGAGAAGAAATGCCGAAACTAACCCAGAGGTACGTCTCTTTTAAAGTCCAGATCAACATGTAATAAAAAATAATGTGTGAGAACCGTGCATGTTCTTTCTGTAGTAGCCTTTTGAGGAAAGAACCACAACATTCAGCTCAATTAACATGTGAAGTTGACTGATCCGACGAAGTACTAACACGGTGTCTGGTATTGTGCCCGGTATATGGCAATAGGCCCCCTATTACATGGGACTTATAACATAAATAGTGAAAAGTGGGTGGCTGTACAACGTACAGTGACATTAAGTGCCGTAATGTGCACCTATGCCTATCCCTTTGGGGGTAAAAGGCATTATGTTATGGCAAAGGCATAATGTCGTAAACTGTGAAGTATTGAAACAATCACACTTTTGAATATATTCTATTTATTATGTCCACATTCCTTAACATGAAAATACCTATTTTTCTTTCTTTCTTTATACTAGAAAATTCAAGAAATGTATCTTCTACATTATTGTTTTAATTGATTTCTTTAATTGTTTCCAGCGTTTCAGCGGCAGTCCTTTGCAGATAGACCACTACAGATGTCAGTACACAGTGATCGGTGTCACTGCCCACACCGGGACTTGTGGTAGACCCGATGTACCGGAGTTCTTTACCAAGATACGGAACTACGTGCCTTGGATAGAAAGCATCGTCTGGCCAGGAGAAGACTGAATATTTTTATCATAATATAATAATTTACTTGGTAAACATTGTTTCATTTCGCTAGGTCCAAAGCAAGTAGGATAGTGTGAGTTTTTGTTATGTTAACGTGATCACAACGTTATTGCATTCCGCTAGACTATTGTGTACCTTTCAATTCAAAGTTCGAAGAGTACTCGATCGTGGTCCGCACTGTCATTGGTTGTGATAATAATCTCGATCAATGACAGACGAGAATGCCATCGAGCTAACTCAGAAAGTTCGAATTGACGTCATACATAATAGCCTTGGTGGTCTCCGATTGTCTGCTCCAAATTAACTAGCCCAATCAGTAATGTTGCTACCTTAACAACGTTAAATTAAAGTAATTGCGCCTTCGGTAATCTCGACGAAACAACGCAAGTGTTGTTTCACGTCGGTTTTCTACTCAGCCGTAGTATCACTCCGGTAACAATCCTCCACATATTTTGAACAATATCATTAAATATTTATACTTTGCCCGACCCGGGAATCAAACCCAAGACCCCTTGCCCGGCAGTCGCACTTGCGAACACTCGGCCAACGAGGCAGTCAGGTAGGAAGCGAGGCAAAATCGCACGTCAAGTAATTGGTCAAAATATAGCCATAGATAAATTGGAATTCATAAGTCAATACTCGCATGCGCATGTCTACAAAATTTCATGCTTTTTACGCATGTTGTCGTGGTGGCCCGGAGGTTTAAGACGCCCGTTTCTCATGCATGAGGGTGCGGGTTCGAAACCTACCAACGCCAAGTACCAATGTGACTTTTTCCGAGTTATATGTACTTTCTAAGATTATTCAGACACCACTGACAAACGGGAACCACCGACTGACAGACACCACTGGAAAACATCGTGAGGAAACCTGGACTTATAATTTCTAATTATAAGTTTGTAATCGCCAACCCGCATTGAGCAAGCGTGGTGATTAATGCTCAAACCTTCTCCGTGTGAGAAGAGGCTTTGCTCAGCAGTGGGCATTTATAGGCTGTTGATGATGACGCATGATGTACCTAGATAATGATGTACCTAGATAATGACGTATATTTTTTTAATATTTCGCAAAGGATATAATATATTCCTTACTTCGACATTCTCCTAACAAAAGCTCCAGCGTTGTTGTAATTTTAGTATGAAGGTACCAAATCGATCGAGTAAAAGTTTTGAAGCTATTACTCGTAAAGGCACATCATATTTATTTTTACAGCTATTTAATACGCGGGTAAGGAAATGAGATTTATTTCAGTACAGAAACAGTAACCATTGTTTGGCAACTGAACCGACCAATGTCAGTCCACCGAAATCAGTTTGGTTTCAGAAAACAGAGTTCAACAACACTAGCCAGCTATTCTTTAGTAAAACGAATTAGTGAAACTCTTAAAATAACAAAATGTCAACTTTTCAGTTTTTCTTGATATTAGCAAAGCATTTGACTCTGTCTCACATAAACGTCTACTTTACAAGCTATAAAAATGTGGCATAAGAGGTAAATCTCACGATTGGTTCAAAAGGTCCAACCGCCAACAAAGGACTGTTATCTCTAAAATTGTAAACAATACTAGAATGACATATATTAAAAAATAACAACTCTGGCGTACCACAGGGGAGTGTACTGGGCCCGCGGCTGTTCATAATAATATATATGTCGTAGCCGGTCATGAGTTTGGACGCTAAATGGAACACAAGCGCGCCACCTAGCGTATTACTGGTGCGCTTAGGCAGAGTCGTGGCGTCAGAGTCGCACTCGCCGGAGCTCACTTCTGCTCGAGTCGCCACCGAGTGAAGACGTTGTCACAGAACTGCCCTACGTTTTGCTTAGCGGCCAGAAGTTTGTGATTTTAAAAATCTCAGTGTTTATTTCTAAAAGCTTTTCCTATTTACACGATACTCAAATTCACTCACATTATGTCTGAGTAAACGGAACATAATCCTGCCTCCTCCGACATCAGAAAAGGGATGACTGTTGCCACATTCGACATATATTAATGACCTATGACAATGTCTAAAACATATCTGTATTCAATTTGCAGATGACACTACATTGACGATATAATGTTTGGAGAGAACGGATATGGAAACTGAAACTAATACTGAATTAACAAATGTAATGACATGATTAGAAGACCATAATCTCCAAGTAAATATTAATAAAATAAAAATTAGTTAAATTCCAAACATGTTACTTACTCAACAATAATACCGACAGCAATACAATACAAAAATACAATTTTACAACCAGTACAGTCGGCCTTATTTTTAGGATTTGTAATTGATAACAAACTCGACTGGAAAGAACATATAGAAAAAATGTGCAACAAGTTAGATAAGTTTGTGTATGCCCTGAGAAAACTTAGGTTAGTATCCAGTAAAGAACTTGTTTCATCTAAACGCCTATCAATCACGTTATGACGTTATGAGCTGTTGACGCCGGCTTCAGGTTGACGTAGCTTACCAAGACTTCAAGAAGGCGTTCGACACAGTCGACCACGACATACTCTTGTCGAAGCTGGCTTGTATAGGTTGCACATACCATACTGTAAAGTTCTTCACCAGTTATTTTCGGGATAGGCGTCAGTATGTGGACTGTTTCACTTCTCGGAACCCTACTACACCAGATCAAGCGTCAGTCAGGGTAGTAATCTAGGACCCTTAGCTAGCTGTGCCCGCGACTTCGTTCGCGTGGTTGTCGAAAACAAAACAACATCGTTTAGATAACAGTGTGCTATATATATATGAACTCCACTCAAGAAGGTGGTACCTATAGTATTTTTTTTGCCAATAAAGATCCTGACTATAGTATATTTTTATTTGGTAATATTGGTATCTTGTTGATTACGTTAATGCTATCCTATAAACTATACCTATTAGCGGTTGAATTACCCGGAGCATTATGCAAAAACTGTTTTGTTTGTTTTCTTTGAGGTATTTTTAAGACAAAGATCGAAGCAATATACAAAACGGACAAAATTTTAAAGATCGGTGCGTCGAACAGTCACGTATGATAGCAAATCGTCTGTTCGTGGTCACGACTTAACGAATTCAAACTCAGAAGTAAATACTTCTACTTTAGGGATGATACGTATTTACTGGTACAGTATAAATACCTAGTTTGAGCTTAACAGTACGCATACTGGGTATGTAAGCAGAAACCCGGTCCCTATTCGTTCCGTTCGTATTCATGACCTTTGATCTCGTGTAAAATGCCGACATCGTCTAGAGTCTAGACAGTAACGCATCGGCCAGGGTTGTCAAAAATATGAAATTATGGCACCGACTAGAAATCGGTCAGTAGGTCAATAACTCACCGGTACTATTAGTTAATTTTTTTGCATTTTAATTTTTAGTTTTTATTTGTTTTTAGGTATTTTGAGAAGTCGGTTTTCAAACGCAGTTTTTATTTTTTTATTTTATTAAGCGTAAAGCTACATCGACCCGTTTTGCCACTTATAATCCACATAGGTGCAAAGTTCTAATCAATACAAATTATACAAACCCAAACATAAGGTAGTTACTGTACACCGTTCAAGAGTTACATTTTGACAGCACCATCAGTTTTACCACCTTTTAAAATGAAAACGATACCCATATTATATTAATATTGCTGAAGCTGAAACACTACGGCATTCGGGGGAAGTCGCTAAATTTGTTGAAATCATACCTTCAGGATAGGCAACTTCAAGTACAAGCAAATAAAGTAAATTCACAGGGTGCTAGCATATCTATGGGTGTACCGCAGGGCTCGATACTAGGTCCATTCTTATTTTTAGTGTACATAAATGACTTGCCCCATTTATTTAAAAATGAACCGGAGATGGTATTATTTGCTAATGACACTTCATTAGTTTTTAAAATAAATAGACGCACATATAATTATGACGACGTAAATAATGTCCTAATGAAAGTTCAAAATTGGCTTACATTAAATAACCTAGTACTAAACAATAAAAAGATAAAATGTATTAGTTTTGTTTTGCCAAATGTTAAAAGCAACGAATGTGACATATTATTGAATGGTGAGAAATTAGAGTTTGTAAAAGAGACAACTTTCCTGGGAATTACTGTAGACGACAAATTGCAATGGGGTCCTCACATTACATCATTAGCGGGACGATTGAGCTCTGCAGCGTATGCTGTCTGGAAGATACGACAGTTAACTGACATAGAAACGGCAAGACTAGTGTATTTCAGTTACTTTCATAGCATTATGTCGTATGGCATTTTGCTGTGGGGACACCCTGCTGACATTGAGTCGCGCCGTCAGAGATATCTATAATCTAGGTCGTCGCGAATCTCTCAGAGAAAGGTTTAAGGAGATCAACATTATGACCGTTCTATGTCAATTTATTTATGGAAACATCATGTATGTTAGGAAAAACCTACAGTTATTTGGTAAAGTGTCGGACAGACACCACTATCAAATTAGACATAAAAATAGATTAAGTCAGCCAATTTCGAGATTGGCGAAAGTATGTAAGTCGTTCATGGGATTCTGTATTAAATGTTATAATAAGATACCAGGCGACATACAACACCTAAATGAATCAAAATTTTAATTATGTATAAAGAAAACTTTATGTAGACAAGCGTATTACAAACTTAATGATTATATAGTGGATAAAAATGCTTGGATACAGGCTAGTCCGGCGCCACAGGATAACAAAAAACACTGATGTTTTAATGAAATCGTAAATAATACAGCCATTTTGCTCAATTGTATATTGTTTAACTTAGATAACCATTGTGAATGTGAGAGCCCTGTAATTAACTTAATTTTAAACTAGTCTAGTAGAATGCATTTGTGTCAGCGTGGAGTTGTCATGCTCACTCAAAGGTCTCATTGGCGGTGGCGCGTGCAGTGGATCGCTCGGATCCGTACAATATGGTTGAGTTGGGCGGTGCTGGTGTACATGTCATGTTCATGAACGGGCGCCGTCAACTGGAACTGGTCAACTCCAGACTATATTATTTATTGTCCTTAAGGTTATATTTTCTTTTTCGATCACTTTGACTGGATTTTAGTGTTACATTGTTCTCGCACAATCCAAACAGCAAAACTATGTAACTAGAGAATTGTATTGTGAACCTGATTAAAAAAGAGTAACCTATGAAGTTACTTTCTCGTTCTTCTCCATAGGAATCGACACCTTGGAATGAGCAAATAGCTTGACTTTTAATTTTTTTTTGTTGACATTCAAAAATGCCTTTCGGGTCTAATTGAAATAAATTATGTTAACTTTGATTTGACTTTGACTTTAAATATTATTATTTGTATTAAGTATTTTGACATTTAATTTAAAAAAATTACATAGACTGAAATTGTATTTAGTAGTTTAGTTTAGTATATTGACAATATACGTTTTGACATATTGACATTGTATTTAGCATATTAACATTATAATATTTATAATTAATATTTTAACATTTTGATGGAAATAACATTGTTAACAATGTTACCAATAATTTGTGATTCAATTTACTTGACATTATTATAATTACTCCCCGTTGCCTGCCTCGTTGGCCGAGTGGTCGCAAGTGCGACTGCCGGGCAAGGGGTCTCGGGTTCGATTCCCGGGTCGGGCAAAGTATTACTGGGTTTTGAAATAAAAATCTCAGTAGTAGCACGGAGTCTGGAATGCTGAGCAAAAAATAACTATTATTAGTAAGTACTGATAGGTTACCCACCCCACTCAGAGATTTGTTAGAAGTCGGCGCCATAACTTCTATACAAAATTATTCATTAAAACCTTAATTGATACCTAATTTACAATTTAGTGGCCATTAAGGTATATCATTATGATATGAGCTTATGGCACCGACTTCTAACCTATCAGTGGGAACCAATCAGGACCAATAATAGTTATTTTTCGCTTTTTAGTTTTTACCATTTGTTTGTAATTAGTTTTTTGGTTTTTTGAAGTCGGGTTTTCAAACGCAGTTTTTATATTTTTATTTTATCATTTTTAGTGTAAAGGTACGTAGATCCGTTTTGCCACTTATGATCCACATCGGTGAAAAGTTCTAATCAATACAAATTAATCAAGCCCAAACACAAAGTGTTAATGTAAACCGTTGAGGAGTTCCCTCGACTGTCTGTCGGCTCCATCATCAGGTCGACTCCAAACTCTTATCAAATTGTAGTATTTAAAAAAGGGAGTGCCTCCACTGCCGGCGCCGGTTGCCAAAAATATCACTATTGGAAACCGGCGGTAAGTATACTGCCGGCAGCAAAGATTTAAAACAACAGCTGCCGGCGCCGGCACTCAAAATGGCAGCCGGTGACTATGCGCAAAAGGCTGGGTTCCAGTGCCGGTAAACAAATATAAAAAAAACATATCCTCAAAGATTCGACTTTGTTCTTTATTTAGTATCATTAGTTTGTGCTGTTTGTTGTATTTATTCTGTTTGTCTTACGTTTATCGTTACAGTTTGGAAAAATGAAAGTCGGTGACGAATATAGGTTAGGTTAGGTTTTTTTTTTTTTTTTTTAAAAAGGGTAGGTTGGATTAGGTTAGGGCCGGTTACCGAATAGGCTACCGGCGCCGGCAGCTAATCCGGCAACCGGCGCCGGCAGCCAGTCCGGCAAACGGCGCCGACAGCGGAGGCACTCCCATTTAAAAATACTAATTTAAAAATATAATAGACGTATTACTCGCCCCTACAAGTTTCGAAATTTCCCCTCGGTTTCCCTAGGATTCCATTATCAGATTCTGACCTCATGGAAATTCGGATCACAAAAAAAAAACGATCAGCCGAACATAGTCTTTTTTGAAGTCAGTAAAAAGGATGGGATAAGGAATTAAGTAAGAGTACATAAAAAATATTTTTTTTATTTATAGATAATATATTTTTGTCAAAGAACCTTGAGCTAGTTTTTCTAATTAAGGTCATGACAATAAGTAATAAGTGAATGCCCTTTGATTAGTAACATGAATGATAATTATAATAAAATTATGTATAATAATTCAAAACCATGTATTATTAAAACTAAAAATATGACGTAGTATTGCAAAACGAGGAAGTATTTTACAACTGATATTTCCAGTAACCCCGAGTACCTATTCATTGAGACTTACCTCGTCGTTATATGGCCTATAGTAACCTTCGGCAGCATCATAACGCCTAAAACCTAACCCACTCCATCCGCGACCTGCATCAAATATTCCCCCTGCTCCTCCCCCTATTCCTGCTCCTCCCATGATTCCTGCTCCTGCCCCTATTCCTGCTCCTCCCATGATTCCTGCTCCTCCCCCTATTCCTGCTCCTCCCCCTATTCCAGCACCCCCTATTCCTGCTCCTCCCCCTATTCCTGCTCCTCCCCCTATTCCTGCTCCTCCCATGATTCCTGCTCCTCCCCCTATTCCTGCTCCTCCCTCTATTCCTGCTCCTCCCCCTATTCCTGCACCTCCCCCTATTCCTGCACCTCCCCCTATTCCTGCTCCTCCCAGGATTCCTGCTCCTCCAAAGATTCCTCCCAAGATTCCTCCTCCTCCCTTGATACCTGCTCCTCCCTTGATTCCTGCTCCTCCCTTGATTCCTGCTCCTCCCTTGATTCCTGCTCCTCCCTTGATTACTGCTCCTCCCTTGATTCCTGCTCCTCCCGCTATTCCGGCCCCTCCCGCTATTCCTCCCCCTCCCGCTATTTCTGCCCCTCCCGCTATTCCTGCCTCTCCCTGTATGAATGCACCTCCCTCTATTCCTGCTTCTGCGTTGATTCCTGCCTCTCCTTCTATTTCTGCCTCTCCCTGCACTCCTCCCCCTCCCCCGAAGTCAAATATTCCGTCAAAATCCATAAAATTATTAGTGTTTGAATAAATTGAATTTTGAGCATTCGAATGGGAAGACGTGAAATCTTTATTTTGAACACTAGTCTGCGTTTGAGTGTTTGAATTTACACTTGCCTCTGAGTTGGCTCCTGATTGAAAAATATTGTTTATATTATTCTGTCCAGTATTATGATAGTGATGACTATAAGTATTCTCATACTTTGAGTTCTGTTCAGAGTTCGAATGCCAGCTTGAATGAGTTTCATTTTTAATAATAACATGGTTTCTATTATAATTATTTGCTTCTATTTTTGTTAATATTGCTGCTATTTGCAGCTCCGCCTTCACCTGTGCCTCTGCCTTTAAAATTATCCGCTGTTCTCTAGTAATTTTAGATTTACCTTTTATTAGCTCAGCGTAGATAAGCGCTTGTAACTCTGTCTGTATTAGTGATATACTTTTCTTTTCATTTAGTGCATTCTGGATTACCGCATATAAATTTGACTGTTCTTGTACTTCAGCTTCATATTTTTTTTCTATTGCCCGGATCAGCGCTTCTAAATCTTCCTGTTTTTGTGATTTAGCATTATTTTCTTCTAGTGCTGCTTTGATTAGCGCTGTTATTCCTGCCTCGGTCATAGAATAAATAGACTCGAAATTGTTAATTCCATATATACTCGTATAGTCGACATTAATATCGGTCATAAATTTTTTGACATAATTGACGTAAGATTTGATAAGACTTACTATATTAAATACTCCTAAGCTATTGAAATTGACGATTAAGTGTTTACCACCATCTGTGCTAGAGAAACAGATTGTACTTGCAGGATTTTTATTTGTATTTTTATTAGTGTTACACGGGCATTTCTTATCTGTAAATGATGGAATATACAGTTTTCCTAACAAAGGCTGGACTTCAGAATAATCTTCTTCATCGGATTTTCTTATGGAATCGTTTGGTAAATCGTTTTCATAATTATATCCAAACGACGGTCGTCTAGATCCGGCTTGTTCATGATATTGGTTACTTTGTCTGCCGTAGTAGTTCCTTAACATGTAAGGTAGCTCTCTAGCAGTGTTCGATTTCCTATATAGATCCTGGTAGTTTTTTCTATCATAGGGACTATAATTATTTTCTTCATAATTACTGGAACCGAGACTGTAAGAGTTACTTTGATACTCGGTACTACAAGCAATGTGTAGCAGGATAAAAATTATCTGAAATAGACATAAATACACATTTTAAATATCTACGTAGTACGTAATGATATATCTGCCAGTATAAGTATTAATACATGTTTATTGATATACATACATACATTACGTCACGCTTGTCTCCTATGGGGGTAGGCAGAGACTAAGGAACGCCAATTACTACGATTCTTACATACCTCTTTCTCTCTTTATTGATATATTGATAACAAATTAAGACTAAAATCACTTAAATCAAACCAGTGGTTTTTTATTGATGTTTCTGTAGTTCGATCGGATTTTTTTCACCAGAACCGAAAATGTTGAATACCTCAGAAACTAGCGACTTTCGGATCAGAGACCTCAGGGCTGATTTTGTAGGAAATTACCTCTCGAGAGGAATACGTCGAGTTACAAGTCACCCTATATCCTTACTATAATATTATAAATCGGAAAGTGAGTTTGTTTGTTTGTTCCGCTTTCACGCCGTAATACTAAACCGATTTTGAATTTTTGCAGACGTAAAGTTAGAAGTCTGGATTAAATAATAGGGTCTTTTTTATCCCGGAAAAATTGATATTCTCGAGGGAAAAAGAAATTATTGGTATAGATGGCGCTGTGTGTATTATTATATGTCACATAGGCTACTTTTTATCCTTTTGTGACGCGAGCGAAGCCGCGGGTAAAAGCTAGTATGTATATAAACTTCTAAAGGTTTTTGAAGTCTGTTAACAATAAATAGGTAAGAACATTCCCGATAGCACAGTGCTACTCCATAGATTTTGAGTAACATGACTAAAACCTCGTGTTTCATGGAGCAGTAACTTTCATTTTGACTGTCGATAAAGCGAAAGAGGTTTGTGAATCGTAGCAATTTGAGTTCTATAGTCGTGCTAACCCCCATGGGAGACAGGCGTGAGGTTATGAAAGTAAGAAGCCACTTTCATTTTCGATTTTATAAAATTAACTACTGGACATTTCCATTCTACCCTAGAGTCTAACATTAGCAAGTAATTTGCGTTTGAGTTTGAGTTTTTAGTTTACTTATTTCATCGATATAGCAAAAGGAGTGTCTCTAGCCAAGACGTACATTTATAAAAATATGGGTAGAGTTAATCACTTACCAGAATTTGATAGGGGAGTAGTAACAGCATAGTTGTACCGGTGTCCTGCGCCACAGCCTCTCTGAACTCGTGTCGTGGTCAGGGGGAGTATGGCACGACAAAGTGGTGAAAAAATTAATTAAAATCACAATAAATTGTAACCGTATTATTAATTGCAATTCACCACGGTCATTCAAGCAAATAATTATAATAATATGCATAATCAAGTGATAAGGAAATTAATTAATTTAGGAAAAATAAATAACTGGCTTTGTCTGCTATTTTTCTAGATTTACTTTTTATACACACATACACCCACACCCTCACACACACACATACAGGGACACTCACACACACAGAGACCCACACAAACACTATTGTTTAATTTTATTTTACATCGAGATCATAATAACAAGATAACATACATTTTAGGTGAGTGTTTGTTAAACGTAGGTAATTTTTAAGCGTGAATGTTTTTAAGCGACTTCAAAATCAGTTCCGAGGATGTCAGTTTAACCTGTATGTACGTGTATTTGTTCACGACTATCTCACGCATAGCTGAACCGATTTTAATACGGATTTTAGATTATTTGGAACACTTTGGAGCAGGTTTTGGTATGGTAATTGATGTCGAATTTTTAAACGTAGTTTAATGAACATTGTTATTTTATTTGTTAGCGTAATCGAAAAACGTATCCCCACCGTGATACTTAAATGAAGAAAACATGACATATAATGTGTTTGTTAAATATATTGTTATGTAACCTTGTATAGTGACTTTTATTGACTGATATAGTATATACATCATATATTAAGTACCTAAATGCCTATGTATAAAATAATGGAATCCATTATAGATGCAGTTAAATGAAATTACAGCCATAATTACTACAATGATTGAAATATGTATTTAAAATAATTGATTATTTATTAATATGTTTACTTATCTAATCATTTTATTGGAAACTTTAATTTGTTTACGGTGATAATTAATTAACAAATGCAATTAAAAATCTTTTAATCGATCTTGTTTTTGACTGCCTTGTTGGCCTAGTGGAGGCAAGTGCGACGGCGGCAAGGAGTCTCGGGTTCGATTCTCGGGGCGGGCAAAATATTACTGTTTTTTTTTATATCAGTACTAGTCGGTATTTGGCTCACCTCCTATTACATGGGACTCATAACATAAATACCTAGTGAATAGCGGGTGTTACATTGTACAGTGGCATTAAATGCCTTAATGTACACCTCTGCCTACCCCTTCGGGGATAAAAGGCGTGATGTCATGCTTACATGACATCACGCCTTTTATCCCCGCCGCCTTATATCGGTATGGTTATACTTATATAACCATACCGAGCTTTATCGCAAACAGACCAATAGTTTTAGCGTGATAGAGTAACTTCCCCCGATTTCCCAACATTTCCCTTCCGTGCTCTGCTCCTATTGATTGTAGCGTGATGAAAAGTAACCAGCTCAGGAGTATGAATAATAATACTGTACCATGCTGCGTAAAAATCCATCGAGTAGTTCTTGTTTATATAATGGTTATAAATACAGACACATAGACAAAAATTTAACTGATTATATTTTTGGCATGTATCCCTAATCACACCCTGATAGTTATTTTGGAAATATATTTCATGTCAAAGTCAAAATCATTTATTTCAATTATACCAGAAAGGCACTTTTGAACGTCAACAACAAAATTAAAAGTAAAGCTATTTGACACGTACACCAGCACCGCCTAAATCGTATCTCTTTTTATGCTTACCTAATATTACCTAATATTATAAATATAATATTATTACCTAATATTATAAATCGGAAAGTGAGTTTGTTTGTTTGTTCCGCTTTCACGCCGTAACTACTTAACTGATTGCTTTGAATTTTTGCAGAAGTAAAGTTAGAAGTCCGGATTAAATAATAGAGTACTTTTTATCCCGGAAAAAATTGATATTTCCGAGGGAAAACAAAAGTATTGGTATAGATGGCGCTGTGTGTATTGGTTTATGTCACACAGGCTACTTTTTATCCTTTTGTGACGCGAGCGAAGCCGAGGGTAAAAGCTAGTATGTAATAAAAATAAGAACGATCGCTCGAAACAATCACCTTATTACATTACCTATGGGTTACCACTATCCATGGGCCTAATTACGGTAACATTTATAGTAGCTCGATTTAGGGATTTGGCCATTGGGCTTAAAATAACTCGATAATAGAATGACTGCACGGTTGGTGCGGTGGCTGGGCAACCGGCTGCCGTGCAACGTGTCGCGGCCTCGCGGGTTCGATTCCCGCACGGAACAACACTTTATGTGATCCACAAATTGTTGTTTCGGGTCTGGGTGTCATTGTGTATGTGAACTTGTATGTTTGTAAACGCACCCACGACACAGGAGAAAATGCTAATGTGGGGCAACGTTCAAAAAAAAAATGAAAAAAAAAGATAGAATTCAGTTCTTTATCTGATTCCCGAAAAGTATCACCTGAAACTTTTCAAGGCCTGAGTGAATAGCTTGCTTATGGACAGACGTGCTCCATCGTAGCCTCGTAGGCTGCATCATCGCTAACTACCATGGTTGATAGAGGCGAAACGCTGAATTGCATATAAAAAGTATGAATGTTTCTGTAAATCTTCCACGTCAACACAAACTTTCATAATGCAATGCTACGTCGACATAGAGTTACGTATAGTCAATGTATCTGGATAATGTTTAGATTTCGCGTTCCTATAACGGCATGTGCAATCGGCTATCGATTGATTAGTATTTTAACCTACCATGTAATGTATATATGTTTTCACCCTCATCAGACAAAGGTATAATGTTACGCAACCATGTATACCTAATAAATGTGATAAGGGATACTCGGTTTGGGAATTACTCGGTTTTTACGGTTAGATACTTCAAAATATTCTGGTGTAAATAAAGTAAAAGTCAAAGTCAAAGTCAAAATCATTTATTTCAATTAGACCAGGATGGCACTTTTGAACGTCGAACAACAAAAATTTATAAGTGAAGCTAGTTGCTCATTCCAAGGCGTAGATTCCTATGGAGAAGAACGAGCAAGAAACTCCATAGGTTACTCTTTTTCAATCAGGTTCACAATACAATTCTCTAGTTACATAATTTTATCGGTTCGATTATGTGAGAACAATGCAACACCTAAATCCAGTCAGAAAGACTGAAAAAGAAAATAACCTTGAGGATAATAAAATAAAATGATAGTCTGGAGCTGACCAGTTCCAATCGACGGTGCCCGTTCACGAACATTTAAGTTTAATTTAATAATAATAATAATATCTTCTTTGGCCGCCTGAATAAGGTACTAAAAAGTTCCTTATCAGGCGGAAACAAGGTGCGAGCCTTTAACGGTTGGGTCATGCCAGTCCTAATGTATTCTTTTGGTATACTCAAGTGGACACAGACTGAACTTGACACCCTGGATAGACGAGTCCGGACCCTGCTGACTGCAAATCGCATGCATCACCCTCGTTCGTCGGTCATGAGGTTGTACATCCCGCGGAAGTGTGGTGGTCGAGGCTTATTAAATGCTAAGACCCTTCACAACCGTGAGGTGTGCAGCCTCAGGGAATATTTCCTGAAAGTCAACGAGGGTATGCATCGAGAAGTAGCAGCGGTGGACAATGGATTCACTCCGCTATCCTTGGCAAAAGAGAACTGGCGCAAACCTGTGGTACTGAGCGTCAATGATCGCAAGGAGGTATGGCATAGCAAGGAGCTCCACGGACGCTTCTTCCGGGCCCTTCATGGGCCCAGTGTAGATTTTCTAGCATCCGTATCTTGGCTACGATTCAGTAATCTCTTTGGAGAAACTGAAGGATTTGTCTGTGCAATTATGGACGAAGTTATCCTTACGAATAACTACCGGAAATATATAATTAAGGATGGGACGGTTGACATATGTCGGGCATGTCATAGTCCTGGTGAATCCATTAGACATATTATTTCTGGTTGTGGTCGTTTGGCTAACAGTGAATATTTGCATAGGCATAATCAAGTAGCCAAGATTATCCATCAGCAACTTGCTTTGCACTATCGACTTGTTGAGTCTGAGGTACCGTACTACAAGTATGTGCCCGACCCAGTTCTGGAAAATGACCATATCACGTTGTACTGGGACCGGTCTATCATCACTGACAGGACTATTATAGCCAACAAACCTGATATAGTGGTGATAGACCGACAAGTGCGCCGCACTATTCCTCATGATGAGAACCTCGTGAAAGCTGAAAAAGATAAACAAATCAAATATCTTGATTTGGCTCACGAGGTTGTCGACATGTGGAATGTAGATTCGGCTATCATTGTGCCGATAGTCGTGTCGGCCAATGGGTTAATCCCTAATAGCCTCGACAACCACCTTAGGAGGCTAGCGTTAGGCAGTTGGGTCAAGGGCCTGATACAGAAGGCAGTTCTCCTTGAAACGGCGCGCATTGTGAGGAGGTTTCTGTCTCTGGAGCCCTAACCACCGGTAGCTTGGACCATGCTCCCACTACTGGTCGGCTCCTATTTTTATATTTTTAAATATTATTTTTATACTAGTATTTAAAAATGTAATTTTAGAGAAAGTTTAAATAAATATATGGAATAATAATATAATAATAAATCTTTATTTCGGAATCATTACACTCCATATTTTACAAAAAAAAAAAAAAAACAACCAAAACGCCAACCTCTCTACACTATTACAAAATTCAAAAAAAAAAAAAAAAAATAAACTAAAAAAATACAAAAACAAATATTACGCTGCAATCTGTAACCATTTTTTGTACATTGTGGTAGTATACAGTCTTTCAGAAAAGTCTTTGATAATACTGTTTGTACACGAACCAACCCTTGACATGAATCCGGCGATTCGTTTTCTCTGGATGGCATTAAACGTATCCAGCCTAGCTTCTGCAAACATAGTTGACGCACTACAGTGCGGCTCCAGACCCATTAGCTGCCTAAAGATGTTATTGTACTGGACACGAATACCATCCAGAGACCTCTTCGTGTAGCGCGTCCAGAGTTGGCACGTGTAAAAACTCTGACAATATGTCCTAAATAGATGTACCTTCGTCTGAGTGTCAGCTTTAAAAAATCTCCTGGCTATCATATTGCCCACTACTGACAGCGCTCTGCGTTGCCTATCTATGTCGGCATCGTCTTTGAAGTCT